AGTGGAGACCAGCAACAGGAGGGGCGGAGAGCCTTCTGGGCCAGGCCCCAGAACACCTCCTTCAGGCCCTCTCGGCCTCCAGGAAGCCACTTCTACCTACTCTGACCTCTCTTGCCTTTTCCTCGTTGGACGACCACTCAGGGAAGATGACCCCAAGGTCATGCTGGGCCCTGGAGAGGCCAAGACCTGAGGGGAGAGAATGGCCCTGTCCTCGGGGGCTCCAACAGGAAGTAGAATCTGGCCTAGGCACCATGCTGGGCAAGGCTGCAGGGAAGAATTCCAACCGAGGTGCCCAGGAACCACTCCAAAGAGCAGCGTGATCTAGGCCAGCAATTCAGGCCTCCGGCAGGCACAAGAGGCTCAAGACTCCTGACCCCAAGGAAAGAGAGAACGTGCCAGGGCCAGCAGGAGAGGAGGTGGAAGGGACAGGTCAAGAGGCAGCAGACAGAGTGGCCAGGGGCTGATGCCAGGCCCCAGTCTGTGTCCTTCCATCATTATCCAGGTGAGCGCAGGGCCACATGGAACCTCCTCACGCCTCAGCTTCCTTCCCAAACGAAAATAATGGGGTCACCTGCTCATGGATGGTTAGTAAGATGGAGCGAAATGGCAGGAACCCTCTGGCCCACAGGAAGCCCTGGAAGTGACACCTCTGCTACTGAGGAGGTGCAGGCAGGGAGGCCCACCTGTGAGGGAGGAGCGTAGCACACCTGGTCTGAGCTGCTGACGGAGGTTCCCGGGGGCTGCTCACAGGATCTGAGCACTGGACGAAGCGGCACCCTCCACGCCTCCCTGACAGGCCTCACACTGGTTACTTTCTCTAATTAACATCTAACGAGCAGTTAGTAAGCTAGGTGCTGGGTGTGTGTGTGTGTGTCCTTATTTCTCTCGCCCACTTGGGGAGACGGTGAATACACGAGCCCATCAACACTTTACGCGTACTAAGCCAAGTCCTGAGATTCACACCACAATTTGCCCAGGGCCACTGGATACTAGTGGTGGAATCTCCTGGCTCCACATCACTTCCTATTACCTCCCAGACTGAGGCAGACACAGCCCTGCCCAGAGAGGGGGGTGACCTAGGAAGTGTTCAAGGGAGGGCTCGCCTCCAGGAACTCCCAGGCCAGGCTGAGGCGCTCCAGGGTGGCTTCTGTCTCTGTCCCACTCCACCCTTGACCCCCAACCTGCCCCTCAGTCCTCCACCTCCACAATGCYCAGCCCTTCCCGGCCCTGCCCCCACCCCCTGGATGCTTCAGGGTGACCTGTAGGTCTGGCCTTCAGTTCTGGGCCCATGGCCTCAGCTCTCCCCTCTCCCTGGGATTCTGGCTCCGGCAGGGGGCCCTTCCCAGCCTCCAGGTGCAGAGACCCACCTCTGAGGGAGAGCAAGTCCTACTGGGGAGTCGCAAAAACCCACATCCGCCCTTGTCCCCAGAAATTCAGAATTAACCAGTCTGAGGAGGGATCCAGACTTTAGGGGGTCTAACGCCACAAGCGTGGGCCATGGTGGTTCGTCTGAAATCCCAGCAACTTGGGAAGCTGAAGCAGGAGGATTGAGAGTTTGAGGCTGGCCTGGGTGACTTAGTGAGAGCCTGTCTAAAAAAAAGAAAGAAAGAAAAGAAGAGGAAAGGAAGGAAGGAAAGGGGGAAGGAGAAGGGAGGGAGGAAGAAAGGGGATGATTCTAAAGGGCAGGGCGGCAGGGATGGAATCCCTCCGGGCRGAGCCTGGGCCTGGTGGGAAGGCCGAATCTCACTGTCCCGGAAGCACTGAGCCAGCCCTGTGCCCAGGGAGGTAGGCAGGGCCACAGGCCTGAGGCGCCAAGCAAGAGGGCAGCGGGACCCCAGGCCACATGCACATGTGCCTAGAGGTGGTGAAGGCTTCCCTGCACCCCTCCTCTGATCTCCCCAGTCCTGCGAGGGGCCCAGGGCAGAGTCGTGATCACGCAGGGAAACGGAGGCTGGCCAGAGGCYCTCCGCCCTCACCACGCCTTGGCCCCTGGTTTTGCTGTAGAGCAGATTTCCTGACCTTCATCTCCATGTGTGCAAGGCAGGGCGGGGGCTGGATGGGAAGGAGGGATCCTCACCCATGTGACAGATGAGGACTTGGGCCCAGGGCCTTCCACAAGGCAGCACCGGTGAGAGAGAGGGCTGGGAGTGGAGGGTTAAGGGCCACTGCTGACCTGGGCGGCTCTGCCCTGACTGACAGCATCTCATTTCTTGTCTCCTCTCAGGGCCGTCTTCTGGGAAAATCTGGGAGCAGGCTGAACAGAAYCCAGACTGGGTTCCAGGGAACCCATGGCTCCGAGAGGCCTCCGGTGGGTGGGAGGAAGGAGGCCTGAGCCCCATACGCCCTCAGGCCTCAGCCCCTCTCTGCTCCCTGCACACCAGGAGTCAGGTGGCCATCGAGCCCACCAGGGCCTCGCCTTGATGAGGACAAGCCCTCCTTTCAGGGCAGATTTGGTCGGGGGTGAGGTCACAGCCATTCCTGGGGGAGGGTCAGGAATGAGGGGTAAAGAGACTCCCCACACCCCCAGCAGGGAAAGGAGCAGAAGGTGGCATTGGCTTTCCTGGCCATCTTTCCAGGGACAAGGCCCAAAGTCTTTGCCCAGGACCCCTCCCCACTCTTCAAACTCCCTGTTCTGCAGGGATGAATGGTGGGAGGGAGCTCTGCCTTCCTCTGCCAGAGAAAACTGGGTTCCCAGGGCCTGGGGTGGGAAGAAGGGATCCCAGTTCCCAGCCTGGTGGGCAGGGGTGTGCTCCAGTGGGGACCCCCGCAGGCACAGCCCTGGTTATCTGGGAGCCCTCTGGGCTCCTCTGCAGGCCCACCTGCCTCTCCGGTACCTCTCCACCGGGAGCCCAGACACCACGCTCAGGAGAACAGAGGAGGAAAGAGAGAAAGAGGGAGCTGGCCCTGGCCTGGCAGGACTTCTCTGGGGACCAATGTGCCCACTGCTCTCCCCACCCCTTCCTGGCAGCAGGGCCAAGGAGAGTGAAGGGGGCAGGGAGTTAGAGAGGGGAGCGGCTGTGAGACCCCAGGTCCCGCTCACTAGCCCTCGGCCCTCTCCCTCCACAGCACCCCTCCCTGCCCCAGGGTCTCAGGCCCAGTCACAGACACAGCAGGGAGCAGGAAGGTCCTTCCCTACAAGAGGAGGGACCAAGGGGTGGGAGGATGAGCAGGGACCCACCGGGAGTGAGATGCCAGGCAGGCGGGCAGGCGGGCGGGCAGCAGCGGGCGTTGGAGACCGCTGCAGGGCAGCTGGGACACGACTGGCTGGATGCTCGTCCCTCCGTCCCTCTGTCCATCCAGGGCGGCTCCTCTCCGGGCAGTTCTGAGGCCAGGCGGGCGCTGTTAAAAAGCTTTTTATGTGTGTGTGTGTTAATCACATGATTGCCGTTCACCTGTATTTCGAACAAAGACAGCTCACTGTTTCAAGGCCCCGAACAAGAGTCTGGGCACAGGGAAGAGAAGGGAGGCGGGGGGAGGAGGGTTGGCAGCGCCGGGGGTGGCGTCGAGGAAAACTGGGGGGAGATTGTCCAAGGCCAGCAAGCGAGAGAAAGAGAAAACCCTTATCAAACTCCTAATTCACTGGGCTCCKCGGCCCCAGACACACTGGCCCGATTGTCTGGCTGGTTGTGTGTGCGCGAGCATGTGTGTGTGTGTGTGTGTTCCAATGTCCGCCACCCCCCCCAACATGCCTTTGCCTCGTGTGACTACCTCATTGTGTCCCGTTACCCACCCCCCTCCGCCCCCTGGGCCTTCCGAAGCATGAGGCCTTGCCTCCCCAGACCCCTATTCCAGCCCACTCCAAACAGGGCCCTCTTGGGGTGGGCCTGGGGCCTCACCCACCTGTAAAGGAACTGGGAACCACACATGGTCACCAGCGCAGCCAGGCTCTTCCATCTGTCCCTACTCACGCCCCCACCTCTGCCTAGCCACCAGAGTGGGGCTGCCTGTGACCTCTGGAGGGGACACCTAGGAGAGAGGAGAAGAAAAGGAATCGAGTCATGGGGGTGGTGGGAAGGAAGAACAAGCAAGGGGAGGGGGCAGAGAGGAGGGAAGCAGAACAGGGCAGTGCCACCCCTTCTCAGGTTGGGGGAGGGGGGACTTTGTGACATCCAGGACTAGGACTTCCCCACCCTCTCCCAAGACAGGCTGAGCCCAGTGTGTAGGGGTTGGGTCTCAGGAAGTGGCACCTAGAAGGTCTCTGAGACCTACTTGAAGAGGACTCACTGCACCCCACCTCAGTTACCTTGGGCCAGGCCGCCCCATTAGCCTGTGCGGGGCGGGGGGGGGGGTGATGGAAGAGAAGGGGCTGGGGCTGGGTGGGTTCTGTGCTGGACAGAGGTGTCCAGCTGCCCCGTGCCTTGCCAGGCTGGGACCTAAACGTTCCCTTACTAAGTTGAGGCAGCAAGAGCAGGGGAGGGGGACAGAGCGAAACTGGCTGGCCACAGTGCCTGGCACGCAGTGGGCACCCAACATGATTTATCAAGTGAAGCAACCAGGCCTGTCCCCTCACAGGTCTGTGGGGCCTGCCCCGCCTCTTCCACATCTCTCCCCAGTCCTTTGCCAAGTTCGCATCCCACCACCTGAGGCAGAGGTCAGGGGTCCTGGTTGGGTCTGATTTTCCTCCAAGCAACAGGTTCTGACCCTGCCACCAGCACTTGTCCCTTCCCTGGCCTAACACCTCCCTCCCACGCCTGCCTGCCCAAACCCAGGCTAAGCCTAAGGAGTCGGGCATGGGCAGCAGGGCAGCAGCCGGGCTGGGGGGGTCTGGGCGGGGTGGAGCCCTGGGTGCTGGGGATGAAGGCCCCGAGCTGGAGGCTCCACCTTCTGCCCTTCCCTCCCTCCTCTCCCCCTCCCCCTCCTTCCTTCCCCAGCCCTCCGCCGCGGCTCAGTCGCTCAGTCAGTCTCAGGCTGTCCGGCCAGGGTGGTTGGTGGTGAGGATTCAGGCTCCGTCCTAACCAGGAGGTGGCCTGAGGCTCAGGGCCCCCCAGCCCCTCCCTCCCAGTCCACCAGCGTCACCCCCCAGCCCCGAGCTGGACCGCACACCTTGGGACACGGTTTTCCACTTCCTAAGGACGAGCCCCAGACTGGAGGAGAGGTCGGAGGAGGTGAGTGCAAGCCTGCTCCTCCCCAGCCGCCAGGCCCCCCGTGGGGGGAGAGGCTGACACTCGCAGCAGCTCCCCCCAACTCCTCTAGATCCGCCGGGGTGGGCGGAGGGGAAGGCGGAGAGGTGAGAGAAAAGGTGGGAAATTCCAGGGGCCGGGATTAGAGTAGAATAAAGGGTCCGTTTTTCTTCCTTTCCATCAACAAACCTCCACCCGAAAGCCCGAAAGGAGGTTAAAAAGAAAAACCTCACCCACAGCCAGAGACGGTTGGGACCAGGTGGTGGGAAAACGCGGAGGTGGGACGCACCCACCTGGGGTCTGGCATGTGCTGGGGCCCAGAGGCCCGAGCGGGCATAGCGCGAGCAGGAGGGCCGCCACCTCGGGGCTGCGCCACCTCTGGGCTGCACCGTGTCCCGCCCTGGGCCGCCCTCGGGGCTGCGCCCGCCGCCTCTCCATCGCGCCCTTGTTCCCGTCCAGGTGGGCGTTGGGCTCTTCGCGAGGACCCCGGCGGCGGGCCCGGGGGAGGCGGCCGAGGCGGCGGCGACCGGGGCCGACATGGCCGAGGAGCAGGACCTATCAGAGGTGGAGCTGAGCCCCGTGGGCTCGGAGGAGCCCCGCTGCCTGTCCCCGGGGAGCGCGCCTTCGCTGGGGCCCGACGGCGGCGGCGGCGGCGGCGGCGGCGGCGGCTCCGGCCTGAGAGCCAGCCCCGGGCCGGGCGAGCTGGGAAAGGTCAAGAAGGAGCAGCAGGATGGCGAGGCGGACGACGACAAGTTTCCCGTCTGCATCCGCGAGGCCGTCAGCCAGGTGCTCAGCGGCTACGACTGGACGCTGGTGCCCATGCCGGTGCGCGTCAACGGTGCCAGCAAGAGCAAGCCGCACGTCAAGCGGCCCATGAACGCCTTCATGGTGTGGGCGCAGGCGGCGCGCAGGAAACTCGCGGACCAGTACCCGCACCTGCACAACGCCGAGCTCAGCAAGACGCTGGGCAAGCTCTGGAGGTGAGCACCCCCGAACCCCCGGGAGCTCTGCCGGCCCCCAGCTGCGGGAGGACTCGGCTAGACGGGGGCGCCCCGGCCTCCTGCCCCACTCGGTGGGCACCGCCTGGGCCCTCCAGAGGGAACCCAACTCTTTGGAAGACCAGGCGTGGGGACCATGCCAGCCCGTCTGCCACAGGTACATGTCCAGGGTTCCGCCACTGCGCACTCTGGAACTCCGAACTCCAGGGCCCAGGCCGGGTCTCGCCCCCTGGGGTGGCGGGTGCGAAGGCGCCCCCTCGCGGCTGGAATTCTGTCCATGGCGGAGCGCAGGGCCTCTGGGGCTGCCTCCTGAGCAGGGAAGGAGGGCGGTGGAGGCTCCACTGGCTCTTCCTACGTCCCCACACTCGAGGGTGCCACTGTCACCAGTGCCACTAGTCCGGCGGATATCACGGAAATGCTTGGGAAAGAACTGAAGGCATGGCTGACGAGCCGGGAAACTGAGGCAGCCGGGTCAGAACTGGGGGAGGATCAAGGGAAACAAGGAATTCAGAGGAAAGTCTTGAAAAGTGAGGGCTACGGACTATGCTCCCTGCCACCCAGAGTCTCCTCCTGCCCCAGCTGTCTTCCTGGGCCTTCAGGACCCCCTCTCCTTTGGGCTAGCGGCCTCTTTATTCCCCAGGGGGAGGGGTACACAGAAAGGGGGCTCCCCTTCCCACCCCGTCCCAGAACCAGAGCTAGTCTCTGGCTCCTTTCCTGCCCCTCTGAGTCGGCGCCATCTTTCCTCTCAGGGCCCCACCCAAGGTTGAGCAACTCCACCGGAGCTTTGGGAGCTAGAGCTGAGTGCCCTAGCCAGGAGGAAACCTTGGCCCCCTCCCTGCTGAGGGTCCCTCAGGGACCAGCTCTGACTTCTAGGGAAACATTCCCCCCGCGGGGAAGTCTCCAACCCTTGGCTCTGGGGCCCAGCCTAGCCCCTTGGGCGTGTGTGGAGCAGGGCAGCCTCCATCCCACCCAGGAGTCTCAGGGCAGATCCCAAAGAGAACAGAGGCTCCAGGGGATGCCAGTTTGCAGAAGTTACCTGATCCCCACCTGATGCCCAAGAGACAGGCCCGGAAAGGGACTGCAAAGGTCACAAAGCAGTTGGTGGCAAAGTCAGGGCCAGACTTCAGGTCTCCCAACTCTTCATCAGGGATCTTCCCTTTTAGTCCCTGATGACAGTAGTGGGTCACCCTTCGCTCTAAAGAGTGGTCAGGGGGTGGGGGCAGGGAAAGGACAGCAGGAGCGAGGCATATCTGGATTTGAGGAAGTCTGGGGTCTGTCAGAGGAATCTGCTCCCTCCCCTTTGCTGGCTCAGAACACTAGATTGGGGTCAGTGGAGATTGGGTCTATGAGGCCAAAGGCATAGAATGGTTGCCCGAGCAGGAGGCTCCCCTAGAGTCCAGGAGATCTGCCTCCATCACCCTGGCCTGTCCTTGCCATGTGCTTGCTGATGGCCTGGTCCCTCCTCCAGCCTCTCAGCCTTCAGCCCAGGCCTACCTTGGGCAGGCCCTGGCCAGGTGGCTGGCTACTATGTGGACCCAGAGAGTCCAGCTCTGCCAAGAGCAGAGGTCACAGCCAGCTCCTCCACCCAAGGTTCCTCTAGACCCCAGTGGGGCTCAGACTAAGCTATCGCCTTTGGGGCTGTGGGACAAAGAAGAGGAAGTGAGACGGCGGCCAGGAGGGAGGTGGACAGGCAGACAGAGCAGGCCCCAGGGATCTGGGCATGTGAGGAGACCACTGAGAAGCAAAGCAAGAATGGACTGCTGCTTCCCCACCCCGTTGCCAAGGGTTAAGAGGCCCTCCATTTTCTTTGTCACAGTTCCCCCACCCAGAACCCAGGAGTTGGGCCCGCTTCAGCAGGACTTCCTCCTGTCCACCACTCAGGCTGCGCATACAGGGGCCAACCTGGGGCAGGGCAGTCAGGACAGCAGGCCCGCTGGCTAAGAGCTCAGTCCCAGGGGTGGGAGATGTCACGACAATGGCAAGGACCTGAGTCTGTGCTAACAGGTCATGGCTACCTAGGTCCCAGGAAGGGGTCCTGAGAGAYGCTGGGATGTGGGCTGAGTTGGCCAGTCATTCTAGGGGCTTCTGAACACTCCCTCCCAAGCTCGCCACTCCCAGGACATCAGAAAAGGGGACAGTTGGGGTCCTAAAACTGAACAGAGACTGGGGGTACTGTCCTTGGGTTTTGGGTCAGATGCACAGGAGACAGGTCCTAGTGGCTGTGTGAGCCCCACCAGGCTCACTACCGTTGGGGACCACTGGGGGAGGACCAGCCAGATCCCTGGGTGGCTGTGCGCTGCTTGACCTGTCTGGAAAGAACAACCAGCACCAAGAACCTGGGGAAGCGGTCGCAGGCTGGAGCCTGTCCTGTCCCCAGTTCCACAGGCCCCGTCCCCTGGCTGACGGGGAAACAGATGCAGCAGCAGCCAGTGCCCCGACTTGGGGTTTCTAGTTTGAGTGGGAAACCAGCCTGCCTTCTCCCTCGGCTTCATTCCACATCTTGGGAACCAGGAGGAAAAGGGCTGGTGAAGGTGCAAATGAGCGTTGGGCTGAGGGCGACACGGGGTGGCAATGCCAGTGAGGGCTGGTGCTGGCGTGGTGATTAGCTGGGAGGCTGGCTCTACCTGGCAGGTGGGCTTGGGCCRCAGCCTGGGCAGAGCCTGGCTGGGGTTGGAAGTAGCAGCTGGTGGAGGTGGGCTGGGCTCAGGGCTGGGGTCAGGGCTGGCTGTGGCCCCGGGTTAGTTTTTGTCAGGGTTACATATGGTGCTGCTGAGAACTGGCGACAGCAGGGTCCAGGGTTGGAATCTTTCTCCTTTCTGGCTTGTGCGGCCCCCTCTACGCCCCTTGCCATTTTTCTGCTGATTGCTGCTTGCCAGCTGGGCAGGAGCCCAGGTAAAGTTTGGGGTGTCAGAGTGAGCTCAGTGTTGCCAGCCCCCCGGGGCCACTGCTATGGCCCCTGATGGCCAAGCTGCTCTGCCGGCAGAACCGTTCTTCCAGGGCAGGTGCCTGCATCCACCCTCTGGTTCCCGGGCTCTCCTCCTCCCATCCTGAAGGTGTCTCTGACCCTGATAGTCCTGCTTGGCTAGAGGGTCCCTTGGAGACAGTTGGGGCAGGGGCGGGGGCCAACAACGGGCTAAGCTGCCGAGGAATGCTGCGGCCAGCTAGGAGGTGCCTGGTATGACCACCCCCTCCCAGCCTCAGGAGCGGCTCAGCCTTCTGCTGCCTGGGGCTGAGGCAGGGGGGTGGGCGCCAAGGGGGGGCACCTACTGGGCAAGGGGGCGGGGCGGCTGGAGAGAAGGGCCCTCAGACAGAGGGCCCAGCCTGCCTCCCACAAAGACTGCTAGATGGTCAGTCCCCTATGTCTGGGGTTCTATAAATCCCGTACCTTCACCTCAATCCCCTCTGCAGGTACCCCATTGTGCCCTTCTCACCCTGGGGCAGCTAAGCCCTTCCACTCCTGGCCTGAGGCTGGGCACCGCCTCCAGGGCTCCTTCCCTCCATTGGCAGATCCTGGGAGCTGTAGTAGGGTCCAGAGAAACCTGAGCTTCCTCTACACTTTGTCACCCCCGGATCTCCCCAAGGGGACCATGCCCCATAATGAAGAGGACTCACCCAGTCCCCCTCAGTCCCACCATCCTGGAATCCACCCAATCAGTATTCCAGAACTGAGGGGCCCATCCCTGGCTCCCCCAGGCAGCGTTAGAACAGCGCCTGTTTCTCAAGTGCCTCCCTGCCCAGCCCTRGGACAAGGCCCTTCACATCTGTTACTCTGGTGACCGAACACCCCAGCAAAGCAGTCACTACATTCTAGTTTCATAGATGYGGAAACTCAGGCTCAGCTGCCCGAGGTCACACCCAACTAGTGAGCAGCAGGGACGGGGCTCTGTGTTCCAGCACCTCCAGTCCCAGGGAGCCTGCTCCACCTGCGGACGGCTTTGGTGACGACAATGTTTTCCCCTCCTTGAGCTGACATCTGCGMTGGCTACCTCTAACTGGCCCCTCTCCTCCAGCTCCTCAGAGCTCTGGGGACAGAGATGACAGCTCTCTTAGTTCCTCGGCCTCTCATCTTCTAGTCCCCACAAGGGTCCTGCCCCTGGGCCTCCCCTCAGGGCCCTGGGCTTCGGGCCTCCGAGGGAAGCCAGCGGGGCGCTGACATTCAGTGTGGCTCTGCTGTCCCCCTCACTGCCCCACCCAGGCTGCTGAACGAGAGTGACAAGCGCCCCTTCATTGAGGAGGCTGAGCGGCTGCGCATGCAGCACAAGAAGGACCACCCCGATTACAAGTACCAGCCCCGGCGGCGGAAGAACGGCAAGGCGGCCCAAGGGGAGGCCGAGTGCCCCGGCGGGGAGGCCGAGCAAGGAGGGGCCACGGCCATCCAGGCCCACTACAAGAGCGCCCACCTGGACCACCGGCACCCGGAAGAGGGCTCTCCCATGTCTGACGGGAACCCTGAGCACCCCTCAGGTGAGCGCAGGGCTGGGAACCAGGTGCTGATGGCAGGGCTGGGGCTGGCTCAGGGAGGCGGGCAGGGCAGAGTCGGGGGGCATGAGACCCTGAAACTCCCCAGCAGCCCTGGGCTCTGGATGTAGGGGCCAGAGGGAGCTCAGGGGCGTCTGGGGCAGGGGGAGCAAGATGGCGCTGACCCGGGCTGATAGGAGAACCTCACTGCTGGGCACAGAGCCAGTCAGGAAGAACCTGAAAGCCGCGGGCGAGAAGGGCTGCAGCAGTGACCAAAGGAGAAGGGCGCACAGGGTCATATGGGGAGATGGGAGATGGAGGAGTCGCAGCCTCTGGCCCTCCTGCTCTGACGGAGGGACGTGCACGTGATTTGAGCACAGGCCACACATATGATACCTTGTTCAGTTCTTCTCAGTGATCATAAGAGGGACATTAATTGAGCACCTACTGTGTGCCAGGCACCATGCTAATTGCCTAACTCATTCAATGATCAAGTTGGCCCTGAACAGCAAGATGAGCACCTACCTGCCGGGGCTCAGGCTCAGCTGTGTGGCAGGTTACTGTCAACAGACACAGGAGGAAACAGAGGAGGAACTTGCCGCACAGCTGAGATCTGCACCCAGCAGCGGAGCTCCCTGGGCTCTGCTTGGCACTACGGCTACCTCACTTCCTTCAGGATGTACAGAAAGTGCCACACTTGAGTCTGGCACACAGGAAGTACTCAGTAGGCAAAGCTCTGCCTGCTGAGTCCTACTTTGTGTCAGGCACTGAAGGGGACTCCAGAGGTACCACCAAGAGAAGGCCACAGTCCCTGGCTTAAGGAGCCCACACTTTAGAGGGAGGAGCAGGGGTGAAAGCAAGTGAATTATGCTCAGGATGAAACAGGTACACAAGAAGCCCCCTGAGACCCAGGGTGGCAGCATCCATCCGCGTAGCCAGGTCTCCAAAAATATCCCACTACCCACTGGACTGCAGCAGAGAAGGCAGGAGGCAGAGGAGGCAGAGGAGGCAGGAGCCGCTTGCTCTTATCACTGTGTAACAGTAAGGAGACTGCTTAAGAGAAACAGTGGGTCTTCCCACATCCCACAGGAGGACAGCCAGGACCCAAACCCAGGCAGGCGTCTTGAAGGCCAGAACCCTTGGCCAGCACTCGGCACTGCCTGTGGTCTGATGGGGGAGGCCCAGGCCTCCCCTCGAGAAGCTTCTGCTCTCATAAGACCAAAAACACATCTCTGTGATGGAAGCCCAGCGCCACCATCTCTCACGAGTACCCTACTCCTCACCTTCCGAGATTCAGGGACACATGTGCGCGCGCACACACACACACACATACACAAGAACATACAGAACCACCTCCCAGAATGAAGCTTGCTGTGGACTTTTTCTCACCCTTCAGTGCCCCATCCAGACACTTCCTCAGTGAGACCTCCCCCAGTTGCCAGGGGGGTGAGYGGCTTCCTCCTCTGGTCTCCCAAGTCCTTGGTACACCCCCTCATCAAAGCACTTCCTGCTCTAGGCACACGCAGGTCTCTGATCTCCCCCAAATTATAAGCCCTTGGAGAGCGGGCCCTGTCTCAGTTCTGTTGGTACCCCCACACCTGGCAAGAGCCTGGTGGATGAGGAGGTGAACCAGGAACAGGGACCAGTGGTCTTGGTCCCCTTCTGCACAGGAGGGAAGGCAGCTCCAGGGCCAGGGGGGCAGCACAGACCTGTGTGTGATGGAGCTGGGCATGGTCATCAGGCAGGTTCTGGGCGAGAAGTGGAGTTGGAGGGGACATAGTGCCATTTGGAGTCCTGGGTGGCGAGAGGCACAGGTGAGTCTGATAGCGAGATGCTACAGAGCGAAGGGAAGCACCGGTCACCACCGAGGAGCAACAGGAGCAGGAAGGGAGCCGTCTTCAGCCACGTGGGAAGAACTTGCCAACAGAGAGGGCTTCCTACCAGGTGGGTAGGAGGGTGGGAGGCAGGACCCCGCAGAAGACTTGAGGATGTAATCAACAGTTAAGACCAGGAGGTAAACGGAGGCCAACTTGCTGATGAAACATGTAAGCCCACTGGGTCGTGGAGGGCAGGCCTGAGCTTCCAGGAGGTTCAGCTGCCTGAGAGTGGGCCGTCCAGCCACTGCGCCACCTGCCTCTGACATATTTTCTCCTTGCCCTTCTGTGTCTCCCTTCATCCCAGGCCAGAGCCACGGCCCACCAACCCCGCCAACCACCCCAAAGACAGAGCTGCAGTCCGGCAAGGCAGACCCCAAGCGGGATGGGCGCTCGATGGGGGAGGGCGGGAAACCTCACATCGACTTCGGCAATGTGGACATCGGCGAGATCAGCCACGAGGTAATGTCCAACATGGAGACCTTTGACGTGGCTGAGTTGGACCAATATCTGCCACCCAATGGGCACCCAGGCCACGTGGGTAGCTACTCAGCAGCTGGCTACGGGTTGGGCAGCGCCCTGGCCGTGGCCAGTGGACACTCCGCCTGGATCTCCAAGCCACCGGGCGTGGCCCTGCCCACGGTCTCGCCACCTGGTGTGGATGCCAAAGCCCAGGTGAAGACAGAGACCGCAGGCCCTCAAGGGCCCCCCCACTACGCCGACCAGCCGTCCACCTCGCAGATCGCCTACACCTCCCTCAGCCTGCCACACTACGGCTCCGCCTTCCCCTCCATTTCCCGCCCCCAGTTTGACTACTCTGACCATCAGCCCTCAGGACCCTATTATGGCCATTCGGGCCAGGCCTCTGGCCTCTATTCGGCCTTCTCCTACATGGGGCCCTCTCAGCGGCCCCTCTACACGGCCATCTCTGACCCCAGCCCCTCAGGGCCCCAGTCCCACAGCCCCACACACTGGGAGCAGCCAGTATATACGACGCTGTCCCGGCCTTGAAGAGGGCCCTGTCACCACCAGCCCCTGCCCAGTCCCTGCTGGGCCCCGAGCCCCTTCCTTCCGCTGTGCGCCCTGTTCCTCACCAGTCTCGGGCCTGGTGGTGGCGGTGGAGGGTGCTCCAGGGGCTGACAGTGGAGGGAAGGCTGTCTGCCTGCTCCCRCCCTGATGACCTGCCGCCCCATCCAGGCCCCAGAGGCATGGCCCTGGCTGACAGCCTGGGCAGAGGAGGAGGAGGCTGGCCGATGCCCCTAGACTGAAGGATGAGGCTGCACCTCCCCCAGAAACCCTCTATCCCAGGACCTGAGGAGGGCCACCACCCCCTGGGAAGGGAGGAAGCATGCAGGGTGGGACAGTGCGGGAGGCTGGGCCACTCCTGTTTCCTTCTTACGGACAGCGAGGGACTACAGGCCCCTGTGCCACAGTGCCTAAGCTAGGCCACCAGGGACTGCATCAGGGCTTAGAGACCCTGGCTGTGTCACTCAGGGGCCGAGGACAGCTTTGAACCGCTTTCTGGGGTGGGGTGGAGCTCAGTGGAAATTCTTATCCCTTCAACGCCCCTTCCCTCCTGAAAACAGGAAGGAACCGGCACAGAGGCCCCCCAGGTCCAATTCTGTGCCAATAACCTTGTCTTTGTCTAACTGGGGACAGCCCCTGGTCTCCCTGCCACGAGCTCCCAGGCCTTGACACCCACCCCAGGTGAGGAGGCAGGGCTCCAGGGAAGGGTTCCGAGACAGTCCCCAGTCCTCCTCCCTGGACCTGGTCAGCTCCCTGGTCTCTCAGCTGTCCACGGCTTCCCTGGTTTCTAGGGTTGGAGCTGTTTAGGCTCAAACCCTGGCTCCAAAAGGAGCCGTGGGGCCAGCACCAGGAGGCCGGCAGCAGGCCTAAGACCCTAAAGTCCTGCCCTATACATTTTGCCCTTGCCTTTTGCCCCTGGCCTCCAGTGGTATCTGAATAAAGTACGTAGCTATGCCTGCCCCGTTTGTTCCGCAGCCCCCAGTCCACATGTAACACGTTTGCTACCCCCTTATTTATCTCATAGTCCCCTGCCTGCTCCCCTCTCCTAGCTACTCCAGCCCCTATTAACTCTGCATTAAGCATTCCAAGTAATAAAATTAAAGGTTCCGGTTACCTGCTTAGTGGGTCTGACCTGGCCTGTTTCTTGGTCTCTTGTCCCTTTACCTGGGCTTCCTCAAAGACTCTGAAAGTAGCTAGGAGGAGGGTGTGAGGGGGAGATAACCCAAGAGCCTGGCTCTCCCCTGAGTAGGTGGAGTGGGTGAGGACAGCTGGCCCCCAATGGATGGGACTGGGCACAGGGGCTAAGACTCCCGAGAGAAGCCTTTYCCCAGGTCAGCTGGACCCCACCCTGCAGGGGCCACTCACTGACCAGGCCCAGCTAGAGCTCACGAGGGCAGCAGCAGCCTCACTGCCCACTCAGCAGGGAAGAGTTTGCAAAAAATTCCAGGGACGGCTGTTTGGAAAGAGGTGGGTTGAGTCTGACTGCAATCAGGCCTGTCCCTTAGGATGCCTGGATGGCCTTCTGTTGCCACACCCCTACACCTGTCACCTCTGGCAGAGATCATGCAAGCACCAGGGACCATGCCAGGTCCAGCTGAGCCTTCAGAGCCGCAGCCTGTGCCCAAGTCTAAACCAAGGGCATCAGATGTGCAGTCTCCTCCCGTGCTCACTCCCTCAGAGCCCTGTCCTCTGCAGGCCAGGAACCACTCTGGTCCGAGACCCAGGGAGGGGGGACTGTCTTCACCTTCCTGCTCTACTGATGGCAGCTCTGAGGCTTGTAAGTTCTCTACCACCTACTGCGTGCTCCCTGTGCTGAGTGCTTACGTCATTTGGACCTAGATGACAGTGAGTCCTGTCCTCATCCCTGATTTCTAGATGAGACTGAAGCTTTGGGAGGTTGAAGCTCAGGAGAGCTGGCGCCAGAATCTGAACCCAGCGCTGACTCCAAAGCTTGTGCTCTTCCCCATCATCCCCTCCACCTGCCCAGGGCTAGCAGGCTCTGCTTCCACTTTAAGTGGCACTTTAAGTCTTCTTCCACTGCTCCAGACTGACCCTCCCTTCCATCTGTGGTCTCTGCACCCCTGCACCCTTCTCTCGGTCAGGACCTGGGGGAAGGTGGGCTCCAGGAACTAACCCAGTCCTCCCAGGTGGGCAGACCCCATCTGGAAGCTGCACCAAGCTCTTCAGGCCACCTTCCCCAAAATGTTGGCCTCGTGAAGTTTGGTAACTGAAACCCCTGCTCTCTCCAACAGTATCTGTTGCGAAGTCACACCACCCAAATTGTATATAAAGTTGTTTTTGGCATTTCATTTTGTCGTAGATAAATGCAGGATTTTATGCTGATCTTTAACAGACTTCATCCTGTTGGATCTGACCCTTTCCCCCCTATGTTAAGTCTTGGAATGCGGCTCTCCTCAGAGCATTATGTATCTGCAAACTTGAATATCCTCCTTTAAGTCACTAATAAAGGTCAAAATGAAGAGACGGGGCCCTGCGTACAGCACTAAGTACCGCTGCCCATTCCTTCTGCTCTCCACACACTCAGGGAAGGACTGTCTAGTCAGCTCTGAAATACCTCCTCACATCACTGCTCCCATGGTGCCCGGTCTTCATCCATCACAGGGCCTGGAGACTGCCCAGCGATGTGCTAAAATCGAGATTCACGGATAGATGGCATTCCCTAGACCCGTGAGACCAGAAACCACTGGAAAAAAGAAACTGATGTGACAGGATTGACCTTAGATACTATCCTGTAGTTCAGTGGTAGGTAGAACACTTGCCTACGTATGCAAGGCCCCGGGTCCATCCTGGTTCTGGAAAAAAAAAAAAAAAAAAGGAAAAAGAACCCTATGCCAGCCCCCGGATTCCTGCAGCGTGATCTGAGGGCTCAGGTGCGTAACCATCCATTCTAGAATTGTCAGGTACCCTTCGGGACTAACCTTAGGTGCTCATTTTAAAACTCAACCCTTCCCCTTTATTCAAAGATAGGACACTTGTCCGTTTCCAGTCTTCACGGCTCCTGCTCTTGGTGGGGGTTGTGGATATGGAGCTGGAGGAGCACATGGAGAGGCAGGGGAGACTGGCCGGGAAATGACCAGAGTTGTGGGAGGGTAATGACCCACAAAAGCCAGAAGACCTGACTGTACACAGCCCATAGACCAAAGGCTCTGGGCATGTTTGGGCCTTGGAATGGCAGGAGCAATCTCTGTAAGGAGAGCAGGATCCAGGTGTTTCAGGCAAGAAAGTATAGAGCCAATAGTGGCGGCAGGTGACTTCATACTCCAGAAGTCAAACCTTGGCCCGGGCAGCGGAATAACAAGGGTCTCCTCAAAGAAGAGAATGGGAAGGGGGAGGGGGAGGAAAGAGAAAACACCCTTTCCTCCCACTTCCTTTAGCCCTTTCCCCGAAGGGTTAACTCTCCTCCTCTGGGCCCAAACCTCATCTCCCTTTAATCACATCTGATACTGAGCGGCCCAGCAGGGAACAAAGAGACCATTTAGAGAAATGGGGCCAAGAAAGTGACCCCCGCACTCCGGGGCGGCCGCCTGGATGCCAGCACAAAGGCGGCATTTCAGAGCTGAAATTTCAGCACCCAACTTGATTAAAGGATTCCATGGGCTTGGAGGAGGGTGGCAGGGGTGCGAAGTCCACCCTCCCTGAGTTAACCCTTCTCCAGAGCAGAAAACACCCCGCCCACACTTGCGGTCACTCATCCTTCCAACCTGGGCGCAACAGTGGGGGCCCTGCCTCTTTACAGAGGTGGGAGAGCCGGGCTCCTCCTCTTCCTGGAAGGCAGCTGGCAGTAGAAGGGAGGCTGGGCTGGACGCTTCGGGGACCCGATCTCCCCTCCTGCCTACTCCTGTCTATGTGGGTGTGCTGTACCCTTTCTCCTTACTCCCAGAAGCGGGGAGCCAGGTGGCAGGGCCTCCGGGCCAGGGTGAGCACTGTGGAGAAGAGCAGCAGCCCCGCTGGTACCTAGGCCAAGGAAGGGATGCCCCAGCTCCCTGCGAAGGCCCGAGGACCAGGAGCCCCCAAGAGGGAAAGGGTATCTTACAGCAGCGGGAAGGGCAGGGCACAGGTGTGGCAGGTCAGAGATGCGCCATGAAGGGCAGTGTGCGGCAGTGGCCTGAGAAGTGGGACAGAGTGAGGAGGATGAGCAGGTGCTCGGCCCTTGCTCCAGCTGCTGACTTGCCCAGCGGGGCTGCACGGGGAGGGTGGAGAGCCACGCCACCCCAAGCTTCCTGCTGGGGCGCTCTCCTGAAAGGGGATCYGACCTCGATAAGAGCTCCAGGCAGGTCCTTAGGAAACAATGGGTGGCTTGATGAGACCTGCTCTGTGATACTCCTGAGAAGGGAGAAGCCCCTGCAGCCAGTCCCCACTGGAAAGGAAATTGGGGGTTTCCCTGGCAACCAGCTCCCTGGGCACAAAGACTCGTCTGTCTCTGGGAAGGCAGCTGAGGTATCTCCCCTGCAGCCGCCTTTGCTCTGGTGAACGGGGAGATGGAGGGAGGGATGTGGGGGAGCCACAGGGGCCAAGGGCTGACAGCCCCAGGGCCACTGGTAAGTGCTGAGTGTGCGCTCCGGGTAGCAGGGTGGGAATGGGGAAGAAGCACAGGTGGCATCACACAGCTAGAGGAGCGGGGCGGAAGGTGGAACAGTTTATTATTTACACGTATAAAATGGGGACAGAAACTGGGTGTGGCCAGGTCAGGAGGCTCCAGCTCAGTCGGTGATGATGAGCTCGTCCACCCCCCAGTCTTCATAGCTCCCATCGGGCAGATAGCGGCGAATGATGATGGGGATCTTTCGGGCCCTGTGGCAGGGAAGAAGTCACAGTACATGAGAGATGGTGACTCCAGCGCTGCAGCAGAAGGAACAGTGTCGAGGTCCATGTCTCAGTGACGCCCTCCTCTCAGCTGGTCCCCTCGTTCCTCTCCCTCCTCCCTCCTGGTAGGCTGACTCTTGAATGGACCCCAGATCCTGGGAACAAGCACCAACTGCCCCGCCAGGGAAGCCCAAGAGGGGCCTGCCTAGGTGACTTACTTGAGCTCCTTCATGGCGATGAGCAAGGGGTCTGTCTCCCCCTCCAGCTCCACCATCACGGGGGCACACATCCTGCAGGCACAGGACAAGTGTCAGGAGAGATGGCAGGCACAGGGGGAAGGGCCCAGCGGGCAGCAAGGGCGGGACCAGCATCCCGGCCCTCACCTAGCAAGGTCACCTTCTAGGTAGGCAGGTGCGGTGGGGAGTGGCGCACAGGGCACTGCCAGAGGCTGCCCCCCGAGGGAAGAGAACGGACTCAGCAGATGGACTCCAACGTGCACATGTAAATGGTCCACAGACAAGTCACTTAACTTCCCTCCAGATCTCAGCATCCCCACTGCAAGATGAAGGAAACGACCCCTGCCTGGGTGAGGGCTCACTACACACCAGCTGCTGCTGCCCGCTCCTTTCATATACTATCTATGGGAGGTGAGCACTATTTTGATTTTCATTTTACTGACAATGAAACTGAGGCACAGAGAGGTCAGTAACTTGCCCTAGTTCACACAGCCAGGAAGTGGCAGAGCCAACATTTGAGCCCCACATGCTCTCCATGTAATAAGCTCAAGACCTATAAACTTAAGGTGTTATAAATGTGATAAGTGTAAGCCTTTATTACTAGGCCACATGACAATCATCATGTCAGCTCCCCCACCAAGAAAAGTGCCTGCTCCTACTGCAGACCCCAGTTCTGCGGCCATGGCAGAAAATGCCACCCACAAGTGCACTCTACCCTGACCACCCCAGCCAGCACCACGGCCCTGTCTCTGTGCCTAGCCCCGTTTTCCCGCTCTAGCATTCCCCGCTCTTCAGCCTGGCTCCTCCCAGCCTCCACAGACACTCATCGGCTCCCAGCCTATCTGGACTCCCCATGGCCACTAGGCCAGAAGTCAGTCTGCGCCCTGTTAACCTTTCAAGCCCTTCTTAGGCCACTTCCCCAAATTTACCCCACGTTCAAGCCATACCAACTACTACAGTTCCCTGGTGCTATGGCTTGACAGTGTCCCCCAAATTCATATGTCAATGGTATCTAGAGGTGGAACCTTTGGAAGGTAGTTAGTATTAGATGAAGTCATGAGGGTGGGCCCCATGATGGATGGCATTAGTGACTTTACAAGAGAAAAGAGGGCTGGGGCTCTGGCTCAGCTGTTATAGTGCTTGACTCGCATGCACAAGGCCCTGGGTTCAGTCCCCAAGCACCACAAAAARATGAAATAAGTAAGAGGAAGAGCCCTGAGGTAGCCAGCACACTAGCTGTCCCACCACAGGACGCCCTCCGCCAGGTGAGGATGCAGCACAAGGCCCGCCCGACGTGGAGCCATGCTCTGGGACCTCCCTGCCTCCACAGCTGCAAGCCAAATGACCAGTAGACTACAGTTAAGGCCCCTGGACATTCACACAGTTTCTGTTCTGAGTCCTCCTCAAGCCCCTTCTCTGCACGCCAACATGGGAGCCAGAACACCTCCTGGAAATGCCCAGTGCACCTCCAGCACCCCACTCAGTGCACATGTTATTCTCTCTTCTCGCTGGAGCACTGTCCACAACAGACCATGAGCGGCTAGTGGCCCAGGACTCGTGATTCCCCACAGCGGGGACGGGGCAGGCCCCAGTTACTGCCTGGCCCAGAGCACAGGCTCCAAACACAAACAGGGGAAAACTGAGTCTAGGCTACTGCCTCTTCCAGGAAGTCCATCTTAATTATTCCAGCTTGAATTGGCACTAATGGATCCMGAATTACTAGGAGAGCAGGCTAAAAATACAGGCTCCAGGGTCCTTCTCCAGACCCTCTGAACAGAATCTCTCATAAAGGGGTCTGAGAATCTGCATTCACAAAGATACCCAAAGTACTCTGATAATCAGCCCACCAATTACTAATTTTATCACTAAACATTCTCATTTCTGTTACTTTCAAAAGCTTGAATATTTCTCAAGGACAGAAAACAAGCTTAACTTTCCCTATATCCTCTCTCAGTAAAAGTATTTAGCCAGGGGCAGGAAGCGAGCCTAAAACCCCAGCTACTGGAGAGGCCAAAGCAGGAGGATCGCAAGTTCCAGGACACCCTGGGAAACTTACCAAGACACTCTTCAAAATAAAAAATAAAAAGGGCTGGTATGTGGCTCAGTAGGAGCATGTGCTTAGCATGAGTAAGGCTCTGGGTTCAATCCCTAATACCAAGAAAAAAAATTCAACAAATGTCCCCAAAACATAAAGCTTTAAAGAATGTAGCAAAATGCTTGTCCTGACCTTCCTGCACCGTCTCCCTTTCAAGATATGAATAACTCAAGGCCATTCATCATCCAGCGCCCACCACAAGCCCACAATTTGCAAACTAGGGTGGACCCATAAGTAATCTATATCTCACTGTAGCCTCCGCATACACACGCCCCCTGTTTAGGAAGAGAGTATGAGCAACTTCACCAGCCACCAGGTGGTGCTAATGAACCAAATGGAAACTTCAGCACTTGAGTGCAAGGTCACAAGCCTGTCTGTCCAAGGGCACCAGATGGTGTCTTATCCCTTAACTGCAAGGAGCAACACAGAGTGCTCCATGCTGGACCATGCCTTGCTCCCCAAGAAAACCAAGACACTTGGACTTGGGAGTGATCTAGACGTTGGCTTCAACACTTTGAAGTGCTCCACACTGCCCCACCAGATGAATGCCAGTGTCACTTGGGCTCTAGGGCATCTTTTACAGTGTTGTGCCCAGGCTACCCGCCGCCAGAACCCATAGCCATCTGCCTCTAACTAGACCTTTACTTGTGCCACTTCCTGCACCTGGGGTACCCACAAACCCACCTCCCTTTATCCATCCCTGCAGAAATGGGCATGCACCCTAAACCCTTCAAGGGCCCCCCCCTTTTCTGTACCCCTTCTAAAGTACCACCTATTTCTGCCCTGGGTTCTGCCTAGGTCCTCGCACAGGTCCAGCTCTCCTGCAGAAACACCCAGCAGGCTGGAAGTCACATCCTTACCACCTTCATCTCCCTGACAGGCACCGGCAGTTTCTCAGGGTCGAAGAGCTGACTGACTGCACATCTATAGTCTATTTGTTTGAAAAATAATTTAGGAAATATTCTTCCTGCTAGTTCATTTTAGCCTGGAGGAGTATGCCCTGCAGAGCAGCTTCCACAAGGGAAATAGATCCGTGTTTCCCTTGGGGCGGCCACCAGCCACCCAGGGCTGCTAACTACCTGGTAATGTGGCCAGTGAGACAGAAACCAAACTTCTTATTTTATTTGATCTTACTAAACTTAAATGGCCACATGGAACTAGAGGCTACCATAATTGATAGTGCAGGCCTGGAGGATCTGATCCCAATGGAACCAAAAGATATTGCACTGAATGTACGTTTCTCATCTCACTTAGAAATCAAGCAGTGCGACCAGGTAGGGGGGTTTTTGCTGAGAAACAGGTAAGAATATTGCCTTCCCCTAAAAACCTTTATCAAGGTAGACAGGGAGATCACAGGTGGTCACTGGACTAGGGGCTGGGGTTGTGGCTCAGTGGTAGAGTGCTCGYCTAGCATGCATGAGGCACTGGGTTCAATCCTCAGCACCACATAAAAATAAAATAAAGATATTGCTTAAAAAAAAAATGTCTAGTGCTAGACAGCATCGCCACTCCTCAGCACACAGGCCCTGCTTTGCCTCCTGGCCCGATTCCTTCCTTGAGCCCCTCTCCTCCAGACTCCCACAGCCCCCTGCACTAACCTGTCACAAGCTTGGTGTAGGGATTCCTTTCCTTGTCTCACATATCCCAGTGCATGACATTAGAGTACCACTAACACCACTGACCTCACACTGTCCCCTCCCTTACTCATGCCCAGGTAAGCCTGGGGAAAAAGGCCTGTGCCCAGCCTCTTCGAGAGGCCTGCTTGCTCAAAGAYGCCTGCCAGCAGAAGATGCCACTGGTCTGTTCTCCATGTGGCTGAGACATCAGAGGCACAGGGAGGCCTGCACCGCTGTGCTCATTAGGTCACAGCCTGCTCTCCACCCAGCTACTGACTCTCCTTGGATCTTGTTCTTCTAAACTTGGCAAAGAAGGAAAGGCGGCTAACTGTCAAGTCCCTAAAGCCCATCACTATTCTGGGCTGTGATCTCCCTTGAATAAAGAACCAGTTAAATGCACAGGCCCTGGGTTTGAGCCCCAACACCAGGCAGGGAAAAAAAGGACCTGCTAAGTCCCAAGGGTGCTGGGGCAGCCCTCCTGACTACTGGCACACAATCAATCGTCTAGGGCTCTGAATTCACACTCTTGTTTTGCTTCACAACCTAACAGACATCCTCTAGCTGTTGTTCATTATTTTCCTCCTACAAWGTTATTTGACTTCTCAGTTACTTCTCATGCTCTCCTATTGGATTACAGGCTTCTGAGGGATGAGTCTAGCACGATGCCTGGCATGCAYTGTGTTCAGATCTGAGAGCAGGGAGGCTTTGTTTCCGAGTGCCAGGCTGGGCAGGATCGATAGCAGAGCACTCACTGTGGCCCACCCGTTGGAGAAGACAGTGAAGGGGCCACACTTACGCAATCTGAAGAGCTCGGGTGCCCAGCACTCGGGCTCGCTCATACTTGGTCATGTATGGGGTGGTGATTCGCTTCTGGTTGGCCTGCGGTCGCTCCCCAGAAGGAAGGATCTCGACGTTCTCCTGGCCCTCCTGGACACCAAGACCAAAAAGGAAAACTTCAGGGTACCTTCCTTGAGTGGAGGGAGGGTGAATGATGACCAACACCATTAATGCTTACTGGATGCCAAGAGCCATGCTACTGCTAGTACCTCATTAACCTCCATACCAACCTTATGAGGTAGGAATTAYAGTCCCCATTCCAGAGGTCTGGAGAGTCAGCTAACATTGCCAAAATCTCAGACCCAGTAATACAGAAGAGGAATTATAAGTGGTATTCCAAAGCCCAGTTCCTCAACCAAAAGGGAGTGAAACAAAAAACTTCTAGGACCAGATGGGCTGGTCCCAGATTGGTTGCCCTATAAGAAGTCCATAAGCACACCCTAACCAGAAAGCTAGGCAAAAACACCCCTCTTTCAGATAGGGACACTGAGCCAGTGGGTCAAGTCAGGGTGGCGCAGGAAGAGTCATACATTCACACACTGAAGAGCTACTGATGATTGGGCAAGGTGGTGCATGCCCATAATCCCAGCAACTCGGGAGGCGGAGACAACAGGATCTGAGGCCAGCCTCATCCATTTAGTGAAGCCCTAAGCAACTCAGTGAGACCCTATACCAAAATAAAAGAGAAAAATGGCTGGGGATGTAGTGAGTGGTAAAGCACCCCTGGGTTCAATCCCCAGTGCTGAGAGCCACAGYCGAGTGACGCATGGCATTTTTGCCAGAATGGAGTGGTTGAGAGGTGACTGAGTGGTTGAGAGGTGACCAAGCCATTGAAATGATGATGGTTATGTCAGGCGGTRTATTCAATTGTATATTAGACCCCTGCTGTCCGCCTGGGCACCCACTACTTTGGAGTTCTCTGGGGATTCCTGGGGATTCCTGGAGAGTTCGAGTTGGTTGGAGAAGTGCTGGAAGGATTTCTGGTTGGTGGCATTCCAGGGAGTTCGAATAATAAAGGAGTTCCTATTTTGAACCTACAGGTGCCTCCTGGCGGCTCGGTTATTTTGTGCCCAGATAGACTGCAGCACCCCAGTACCAAAAATAAAAAAATTTAAAATGAATAGATAAAAGGAAATGATGGTAACAGGACAGCAAGCAGAGCAGCACTAGGCGAGACACGGGCAGGGTGGCCAGCCACAGTCTCCTGCCAGGAAGCAAATGAAGAATGACATTTCAGCCAGGCTAAGGCACCAGGAGTGGAGAGACAGGCAGGACAGAGCACATCTAGGAGACACAATCAAAAGAACAGGGACAGAAAGGGGACCAAAGGGTAGAGAAAGCTTCTGACTCAAGTGAATAGATGGGTACCTGAGAGTGTCGGGCAGAGAAAGAAAATAAAAACAGAAGGGCTTCAGCTTCCAGACTGAAAAAAATTGAGGGATCTCTCTCCAGGAGACATGCAGCTCTTCTCTCTCCCTCAATCTTACAGGAAAGAAATTTTTTATCCTCAAAACTGGCAATCCATCCATCTAGCTGCTCCAGTCGGAAAACAACTGGGAGGCATCTGACTTTCTCAGTTTCATATCCAACCCACTAAAATCTCTCTTCTGTCTTCTCATCACTTACTCTACCATCACCCACATCTAATCCCTGGGCCACTCACCTGGAGGTCCCTGATTGGTCTTTCTCTCTTGTCCCTAACACACTCCTTACTCTTGGAATTTTTGTTTTGTTTTCTGTCTATTTATCTGGGTGTAGGGATTGAGCCCAGGRCCTTATGTGTGCCAGGCCAGCACTCTGCCATTCAGCCACATGCCCAGCCCACTTCTCACTCTTCTTGAAGTCAGAATGCTGAATTCCTTTTTTTTTTTTTTGGTACTAGGGATTGAACTCAGAGGCATTTGACCACTGAGCCACATCCCCAGCCCTATTTTGTATTTTTAAATATTTAGAGACAGGGTCTCACTGAGTTAGCACCTCGCTTTTGAATTCATGATCCTCCTGCCTCAACCTTCTGAGCTGCTGGGATTACATGTGTGAGCTACCACACCCAGCCCAGAATGTTGCATTCTAAAATGAAAACTGGATTGTGCCAGTCCTAGCTCAAAACTTGGCTTCCTACTGGCATTAGGCTCCAAAATCCTGCCTGATCTTGGCCCTGCTTACCTATGCAGCCTTATCCCAGGCCACTTGCCCTCATGCTCCCTATAGAGCCCCAACTTGCAGAGCACCTGTCAGATAATAAATATTCAGCACATTTGCTGAATAAATGACAGCGATGTTTCAATATTAGTTTGGGGCTATAGACCAAATGGGCCCCACAGGATCGCTCTGCTACCCAGGACTGAAACACTTCAACTGGGAATGACTATGGCAGTAACCTGGACCACAAAGAAGAGTCARAACAATTAGACAATTATCACCTGCCTTGCCATCTAGCAGCTGAGCTGTAGAGGTAGGAGCCTAAGGCTGAATACTCACCTCCTCAGCATTCTCCAAGTCATCTAGCCCTTCATCCTCCTCCACATCATCAAAGTCATCACCATCAAAACTGTTCAGGAAAAGAGATCAGTCACTTAGAACCTTATCAGAATCAAAGAAGTAGAGCCAGGGAYTGAGGTGYACATCTGTAATCCCAATGGCTCGGGAAGCTGAGGCAGGAGAGTCACAGGTTTGAAGCAAACCTCAGCAACTTAAGACTGTAAGCAACCTAGTAAGACCCTGTCTAAAAAAAAAAAAAAAAGAAGAAGAAGAAGAAGAAGAAGAAGGCTGGGGATGATGGGGATGGGGCTCAGTGGTTAAGCACCACTGTGTTCAATCCCTGGTACCATT